GGGGGGGGGCCTTGGGAAGTCCTCTGCGCTCTCCTCCCTCACCCCCACCCCCACCCCCAAACCCCTGCGCCCTGCGGGCCAGGCCAGCCGCCTCCACAGCTGCCCCTGCTTTGGGACTGTTCTTTCTCATCCTCTAGAGGCAAGTCTTGAGGTGGGGTGGGGTGGGGTACCTGGCAGGGTGGGCGCTGCCCGTGCCCTCCCCACCCTTCCGCCCACGGCGGGGAGTGGGTGATTTCACAGGGTGACTGGCGGCCTTGAACCCGGGGATGCGGCAGGTGCTGGAACGGCAGGCATCTGCCTGAAGCCATCGGACACAGACAGACAGACACAACACACACACACACACCCCGGCTCCAAGCCCAGACTCCCCCATCCCGCGTCCCCAGCCCGAGCGCGCGTGCGCGTGCGCGATGCATCCCACCCGCCCAAGTCCTCTGCGGAGTGAAGGAGCGGGTCCCACCGCACCCCCATCCCACCGCACCCCCAGAAAGCTGCACCCCGAAACGTGCCTCTCCAGCCTCCTCCCTCGATCACGTTCTGGCCTCCTTGGCCTCCAGGGCATCGCTGGCTGCCACCCGGAACCCCACATCCCGCCCAGATGCGGGGCGTGGCCGTGATGCGTGAGGCCGCGGCTCAGGCAGCTTCCAAAGCCTCCCCTTGGCGCCAGACGTCCTCCCTTCCTTTCACAATTTGATCTCTCTCTCTCTCTCTCTCTCTCTCTCTCACACACACACACACACACACACACAACTATGGACTCATCACTAAAATAAATGCAGTGAACAACTCATTATCTCTACAACTCAGGACCTTGTACTAGCTAGGCAGGCCCAGGCCCCCAGCCCCCACCCCCTGCTCCTCTTGGGGTCCCTCCCCAAGGCCTTCACCTCCTCATTCCCAAACAGACCTTGATCTGCTTTCTGTCATTACAGATTTTTACTTTCTAGCGTACCTGGGCTTGAACTCAGGACCTAATGATCTTGCTTGGCCTTTTCCTCTCAAAGCTAGTGCTCAACCACGTGAGCCAGAGCTCCACTTCCAGCATTTTTGGTGTTTAATTGGAGATAAGAGTCACAGGGGCCGGCCGCTGGTGGCTCACGCCTGTAATCCTAGCTACTCAGGAGGCTGAGATCTGAGGATCGCGGTTCAAAGCCAGCCCGGGCAGGAGAGACCGTGAGACTCCTATCTCCAATAAACCACCAGAAAACCGGAAGTGGCGCTGTAGCTCAAGTGGTAGAGTGCTCGCCTTGAGCTGAAGAGCTGAGGGACAGCGCCCAGGCCCAGAGTTCAAGCCCCATGACCGACAAAAAAAAAAAAAAAAAAAAAGAGTCACAGGGATTTTTCTGCCCTGCCTGGCTTCAAACCATACCACCATCCTTAGATCTCAACATCTTGAGTAGCTAGGATTACAGGCATGAGCCACCAGCACCCAGCATTAGAGTTTTTGATAAATAGAAACTTACAGATTGAACTCAGTTTTACCTGGGTTCTTTCTCTCTGGGCCTAGGCGCTGTCCCTCAGCTCTTCAGCTTAAGACTAGTACTCTACCACTTGAGCCACGTGCCACTTCTGGCCTTTTCTGCTTATGTGGTGCTGAGGAATTGAACCCAGGGCCTCATGCTTGCAAGGCAAGCGCTCTACCACTGAGCCACCTTCCCAGCCCTGCATTGTCTTCTTTATTCATTCAGCGGTTTGTTTGAATTCTCCTTGAGCTCCTTCAATTGTTTTTTGTATCTTCTTTGAATTCATCTAACTGCTTTTATATCTCTTTAATTTCATTGATCATTTTTTTTGGGGGGTCCAGTCGTGGGGCCTGAACTCTGGGCCTGGGCGCTGTCCCTCAGCTCTTCAGCTCAAGGCTAGCACTCTACCACATGAGCCACAATGCCACTTCAGGCTTTTTTCTTGTGTGGTGCTGAGGAATCGAACCCAGGGCCTCGAGCATGCAAGGCAAGTGCTCTACCACTGAGCCACCTTCCCAGCCCCCCATTGATCATTCTTGACATTAGAAAAACTTCTTTGTTGCGGGGCGCCGGTGGCTCATACCTGTAATCCTAGCTACTCAAGAGGCTGAGATCTGAGGATCATGGTTCAAAGCCAATCTGGGCAGGAAAGTCTGTGAGACTCTTATCTCCAATTAACCACCAGAATACTGGAAGTAGAGCTGTGGCTCAAGTGGTAGTGTACTCACCTTGAGCAGAAGAGCTCAGGGACAGTGCCCAGGCTCAGAGTTCAGGCCTCAGGACTGGCAAAAAACAAAACAAACAAAACAAAACACTTTGTTAAAAAAAATTTCCTCTTTACTATCATTGAAGCGTTTTTTTGGTAGAGCTTTTGGCTTTTGAAGGAGATAAGTTGCCTTGTTTATTTATGAATTTCGTGGGGTTTTTTTCCCATTGGGATTTATGTACCTGGCTCCAAGTTTTTTAGGTAGAGGCTTCAAGCTGTTGTTACCCTTTTATTTTCCATTTTCCCAAGATTGCGGAGTTGTGTTGCATTTCCCTGTAACTGGAGTAGAGCGTGTAACTGAGCTGACAGGCATCCTATTGCCTTGCTCTAGAAGCTGTGTGCAGCCCTTTTCTCCACTCAGGGTGAGGAAGTTGGGCTGCAAAAGCTATTGCAGTTGATAAACCCCGACCTTGTATTTGGGGTCGTTCCTGATGAAGCCCAGTCACCACTCCTGCTCCAGTATCTTTAGACGAATATGGAGGCAAAGGTGAATCTTCATAATTTAGGAAGCCTTTGTAATGGAGTCTTCAGCTTCCCCTCCCCCTTCCAGAGTCCCAAGGATGAGGTTGGAATTCCTTGCTGCTTTTCTTTGGCTGAGCTTGCTTTTTCGTTTTAAGATTAGATTTAGGGGAAAATTGTAGAAATGGTACAAGGAGTTTCCATGAACCCTGTCCCCATTACCAATACCCCACAGTATTCGATGCTATTAATCCTATATAATAGGATGCAGCAGGTTTTTTTTAGCAATTAATCAAAAATATTGACTTATTATTATTCACCTACGCCATGTTTTGTGTCTTAGATTTATTTAGATTACTTGGACAGGCAGGATCCAAAGTTCATTGATGGAGACAAGAAAATCTAAGCCTAAGCACCGTTAGTACAAGATCCGATCTCAAATACAAGCTGGAGCTGGGTGCCGGTGGCTCAGGCCTGTAATCCTGGCTACTCAGAAAGGCGAGATCAGAGGATCATGGTTCAAAGCCAGCCCAGTCTGGGAAATACGTGAGCTTCTTTTCGCCAATAAATTAATAAGTTAAAAAAAAAAAAGCTGGAAGTGGCACTGTGGCTCCAGTGGTAGAGCGCTATCCTTGAGCTCAGGGACAGAGCCCAGGCCCAGAGTCCAGAGTTCAAGGCCCAGGACTGGCAAAAAAAAGAAAGAGAGAGAAAGAAAGAAAGAAGAAAGAAGGAATGAGAGAGAGAGAAGAGAGAGAGAGGCAGGCAGGCAGGCAGGCAGGCAGGCAGGAAGGCAGGAAGGAAGGAAGGCAGGAAGGAAGGCAGGAAGGAAATGAGAGGGGCCATCTTTTGCAGGTGCCAAGGTTTAGTTACCACACGTGTGACACAGGCTGTTGCTTTTCCTAGATGCTGCTTACCTTAACTCTCCCTCGAAGAGAGTGATTTTCCCCCGGGTGGAGGTGTACTGCCAGATAGAACTTGCACTTGGCAACGAGTGTCCTGAACGCCAAGCACAGCGGGCCAGCCTGGAAGGATGCTCCGAGCTTCACTCACAGGACACGCCCCAAGGGGATGGCAACGCTGGCCATCCACCTGAGGAGACACCCAAGTCCACGCGTGAGCGGCCCGTGGAATCACCGGCCTCGTCCCCTGTCTCTTCCTCCAAGCAACCAGCCAGGTCACCTGTGGCCGCCTGTGGGACGCGTGCTCCCAGTGACTTGCCCCCCCAGGCACCCGCCTCGCCCCCAGCACTGCACTTACCTCCCGGCTCCGCTCCTGAGCCGCCCCCTGCGTCACCTCCACAGCAGATACAGCCGCCTGGACTTCCACACCAATCCCCACCCTCCCAGGTGTCCCCATCAGACAGGCTGTCACTGGGGCCCTCAGTGGTGAGGTCACCTCAAACGACACCCCAAGATTCTCCTTCAGCATCACCAAACCAACCAGGTGTGGAGAAGGTGGGCCCAGAACAGCCCCAAGGTACAGACCTTCTCTGCTTCTCTTGGTTATGTTTGTTATCCTGAGGGTTGGATGGGTGATCTTGGCTTTAGCGGCTCTGTGAGTGAGTTCAGGCCACCACCAGGGGGCAGTATAACAACCAATGGTTCCTAGACATGGGAACAGCAGAAAGGCATCAGGGACACTGGGAATCTGATCCCTTTTCTTTTCTTTTTCT